CACAAGAGACAAAAGTCTATTCCTATATACTGTTACAAAAACTGAAATGGTCATGATTTAAAAGACTGGAGTCTGTACAGCTTGAAGATTTTAAATGAATAATGGGAAGTATAATTAATCGAAACACAAAAAAGGCACCATCTAAAAGAAATAGTACCTCACAGACATCCTTTAAGAAGGACATTGCATCTTGCAAATGCTCGTGAAGTTGCTGCTCAACTCGATTTTTCTGGCAAAGTCAAGACAGAACAGGAGGCAAAGCACAGGTTAAGATTAACTCCAAAAGAGATGAAGAAACAGCTGATGTGCATGTCAGCATAACATGTTAGTAAAGTTAACACGGAGACCTGAAAGAACTACTTGTATTAAGGTATGAGAAGGCTGGGATTCAACAGGGAAGTTACAAGGTTATTAGCACATTGCTTATATTTGCTTACAAAATACATGAGAAGAAAACTTTTCTTCAATTTAAAATGTTCTGTTAGTCACAGAAAAAGAACATTTCTATTTGCAGCCTGAAATTATTGAATGAGAGTATAACTTAGCAATACATCAAATCATACTTATTTTGCTTTCATTATACTTTGTAATTCTAGGTAACAAATGTAAGCATACAAAAGCAACAGTAGTTAACATTCTACCACAAATTCTTCACGCTCTGAGTACGTAGAAGGTTCCTTTACTGCCTGATTTGTTAAATAATGCTTTGCTTGTGTGATTTGCACAATACATTCTTTTCCATGAAAAAACGGGAAATAACACTTTCATGACAAAAATCATTGATAGTCACATTAAAAATTTTAGTGGAAATGTAATAAATTATACACACTATTATCATATGAGAGAGTAAATATAACCATTTTACATTACTGGATTAAATTTTCTTGCTTTTACTTGCCTTTTAAAAAAGTTTTCTCTTTTATGTAAACATAGAAGTATAGAAATATTAAGCCCTAGATTTGTTAAAGAAACAAAAATCCCATAACACTATTATTTTAACACCAGCTGTCCTGAAACCAGAAGCTTGATGCCCCAAAGAACAGATGGCAAAAGGCACACCCAATGTGTCTTATATTGTTCATCTAAATCAGGCCATTTGTTAGTAAAGAATTCGTGTGTAATGCTATCCTACTGTTTCTTCAGAGTTATGCAAGATTTATTAAAAAACAACAACAGAAAAAAAAAAAAAAGCTCCAAGCTATCAGATAAGAGGCTCTTACCAGGGAGTGAAGTGAGTTTTCATAGCTTGGGGATGAAGGCGCTTGCCCTCCAGGTCTGGGCCACTGACTGGTACCTGTTAAAACCCAAAAGCACCCATGCATCTGTGTTAACTCAGTGATCTTGATAGTGTTCTGAAGGAATGAGTAAAGGTACTCAATAACTGTAAATAAATTTATGTGATTATTTTTATTCAGCCTTCAGCATAGTAATGGCGACCTATAAGCCTAACACATTTTAAAAAATCTTTTATTATTAATAAAACAATGAAGGGAGCTTGAGAAACAAAGAGAAGAAGCTTATACAACACAACTACATTTTATATTTGCATATTCTTTAGACTTTGTAGACATGCACGCATATCTTGAGAAAATGCACTTATAATGTACTTTTTTATTCAGTCCCTCTCCTTCCATAGTTTTACACAGTCTTTATAATACTATTAATGACTATATTAATATTCCTCTGATTCTCTATACCATAATTCGTTTAGCCACCATCACCTCATAGCTGGACATTTTGGTTGCTATCAATTGCCTATTATGAATAATGGTATAGTGAACATTACTGTGCTTTTGGGGGGAGGGAGGAGTAAGGTCTTAAAGGTAAGTAGCATTTTTAAATTAGAGTATAAGCATATTTATGATCCTGAATTCATAAGGCCAAGTTATTTTACTAAAGGATAATATTAACTGATAGTGCTTTCAGCAATACACAGATAAACAAATTTCAAATGATTGCAAATACACTTGGGACCATCTTTTAAAAAATTTCCCTAAATTATTTATACAAAAACATTATTATTTAATTAGAAAAATATCATTGTAGAAACTTTTTTTAGATGTTTATTCTTTGATGTTAGAAAAGTGGAAATATAATAAAAAATAGTGAGAATAAAAAAGAAAAGACACAAAGACTAAAAGGGAAAAATTTATTAGGAAAAAAATAAAAGAATTCATCCATATGTTGTGGAGAATACAATGTTTTAATGCTCTTGCCAAAATATCATTAAAAGGAAAAAGACAAAAATAATTGATCAAAAACTCTTCATTATTTCATGATTATGTATCTGAAAATAAATAATTTACAGAAAATAATAAAGACCATTTAATTAAACATATATTATTGTTCTTAATAAAAGCTTCAGTGACAACATGAATTATATTAACATTAGAAATCTAAAGTTGGAAGATGAAGGCTTACTTAATTTGTCTTGCTTATTGCTAAATGAATAAATTATGTCCAGTAGAGCCTGTTGTTGCAGGTCAATTTGTCATATTTTAGGAAGCTAAAGATAATGTAATACTACAACTTATCTGTTACCTCAGAAAAACTTAAAGTAAACCAGAACTATTATAGTTCATTTTAGCTGAACAATACCATTTAATTACTAAGTAATCTAATAATTGTATTCTCATCAATCATACACATTTTGCAAGTTGAAAAGTTGAATACAGAGGTTCTTAAATACCCTGATTAGATTTCATAATTAATTCTATGCATAGTGTTATGATTATACAAATAAGTTTTAAATATTAAAATTGTGAGAAGAAATACATATTATGTACTTCAATTATTATTTTTTACTTACAAGCAAATTATAAACAAATTGTTTTGAGGACCATTAAAGGCTTCCTGCTAGACTTATAGATATAATCATAAATCAACTACCCAAATAAATTATGGACAATCTAAAATTAATCATTGAATCAGAAGCTTGTTGGGCTAATTTTACAATTAACAAGTAGAATATCTCAACCGGAAAAACTCACTAAGTGAACATATGAAGAATTCATATAAAAACAACCAGCCAGGCCGGGTACGGTGGCTCATGCCTGTAATCCTAGCACTCTGGGAGGCCGAGGTGGGTGGATTGCTCGAGGTCAGGAGTTCGAAACCAGCCTGAGCAAGAGTGAGACCCCGTCTCTACTATAAATTAAAAAAAAGAAATTAATTGGGCAACTATTAGATATAGAAAAAAATTAGCTGGGCATGGTGGCGCATGCCTGTAGTCCCAGCTACTCGGGAGGCTGAGGCAGGAGGATCGTTTGAGCCCAGGAGTTGCTGTGAGCTAGGCTGACGCCACACCACTCACTCTAGCTTGGGCAACAAAGTGAGACTCTGTCTCAAAAAAACAAACAAACAAAAAAAAAACAACCAGCCAACTTTCTAAGCACTAATACAGAATTATGAATTTTACGTATGTAGGTTAATCATAACCTATTTTGAAAAAGACCCTAAATTATTTTTTAAAAAACTTTCCTTTAATGTTTACAATATTTTACTTTTCACTTATTTTGTTCTATTTCTCCCCCAACCCTTTTGGGTGATCAGCCAGTGATAAGAGCCTGATCATCAATTTACTTAACTTGTGTGAAATATTAAAACACATTTTAAGTCTAACTAAATACCTCAGAATTGTCAGCATGCATTGGCTTTCAAAAAAGGCAGTTTTTGTGGTTCATCACTAGCTTAGTGTTGAGCAATCAGATGTGAGCACTAAGTTACTCAGGTAAGAAATCATCTACATAATTTTTTGATGATGATATCAAAAAACTGTGCTAAGGTCTACCTTCAAAATGTAACCCATTAAACTGGAAAAAACAGATACATACTTAAACACTTAGTTTATATTATAGATTGGGCTGTTGTAGTACAATGTATTTGGCTAAAATGCAATACTAACAGGGTTAAATCACTGATATCTGTTTGAACTTCAAATAAAGCCCAAACTATAAATATTTCTAACTCCACCTACTCATTTCAAAAATTCATGCTATTGGTCACAAAGGGGATGACTGGATAGCTGTACAGGACAGAGTTAGGTCAGTAGAAGTCCGTATTATGGCTGGTAAAACTCGAAGGTAGGCATAGAAGTTTAATGGATACCTGGAGTTGGTGGACCTAATTCTTGGTTAGATCTGATTGATTTGTACTATCAATTAAAGCTCCTTCGCCTCCTTTAAAAATCCTATTCTTCTTCATGAAACCTACCCTGACCACTAGTTTAGAGTGAATTTAGATAGCTCTATTTCCAAGTGTTTATCTCATTTTCTCAATTAGACTGAAAACTTGTCGAAGTCAGGTAACTGACAGGCACTCTGACAAATGATAAAAATAAATATTTCATTGATTAGCTCAAACTGAAGATTTTTGCTATTGACTACTACAATTATTGATCTTTTATTCATTTATATTCCAGAAGGAGGTAAAGAAAGGCAAAGGATGGTTCTGCTTGTTTGTCTTCCATGCTCTCTCAGTAAACACATTCTCTAAATGTAAATAAATGCTTGTGTCTTTTCCTAAACAATGACTGCAGTAGACACACCAATTCCTCTCTTATACCCTGTTGTGAGAGCCCTGATTTGGTTCACAAGGGGTAAGGGAGGTGGGTGTATTATGAACTAGGAGAGAGTAATTCTGTTCCTCAGCTCCTGGGATAAATCTCAATGCTAAGATAAACCTGGTGGTACCATTTCTGTTGCAAGCAACTGCATTAGACCCAGTGCTGGCCAAGGAGACAAGAGTGGAAATCTATTGAAGAGGCTTCTGGAAAAGGGTTCTTAAAAGACAAGAAAAAGATGGTGCTTTCTCTTTCTATTGGACATTGTTATATCCATATGAAGTATTTTGAACTGCTGTCTTGTCACCAATCTGAGGAAGAATTGCAGAATAGAGTAGGAATCCTGATATGTTGGGCTATACCATGCTATGGGCTTATCACACAAAATGAAAAATCCTCTTATTGTTCAGTCTAGCTAAGACAAGTGTTTCCCTTTCAGCCTAAAGCATCCGAACTGACACAGTATCTCAGAATCTTCCTCATAAGAATTCTCTAGGTAGAAATGTATGGCCTGAGAAGTTCCCAAGGAAAACAATGGGGATTTAAAACAAGAATGATGGCCTTAGAAGCTGCCTATGTAGCTCTGCACCTGTGTATCTATCCTTACAAGGCCTCTGGTGAGTCTGATTAATGTTCAAGCCTAAGAACTAGGGCAAGTATAGAGAGCATACAGTGGGTAGAATTTTTTATTCTACATAACAGGCCATTGCCATACAAGGAACAGAACAATTTCCACATAATATATAGGCACTCTGGTTTGTTCTTTTTCCCTTCAACTGTGAATACTTTATTACACAGTGCTTTCATTTATTCTTCCTATATTTCCATCTCATCTCTGCTCTGCTATGGGGTATATGTAGAGGATGTGGAGACAAGAAGGAAGCACTAGATATAAGAGATGGGAGAAATGCACCTGCACAAAATCAGTCTTTGATTTGTTGTTTTAACAGGATATGTGAAAGTATTTTTCTTTGATTACGACTGAAGAATTGAAAAGGATGCTTATTAACTCCTTCGCTACACAATTCAACAGTCCAGTTGTCATTAATTAATTGAATTAAAGGGAAAAAGAATATCATTCACTGAACATCAAATAAAGAGAAAGAAATGTGAGATTTTACTTGGGACCATTATTTTTTGAAAAATGTCTAAGTCTCTGATTCTCCATTTCACTAATGTTCCTTCATACACACTGAGTTCTGCTATGACCTGCCTTCCTACTCAATGTTAATTAAAACCAAAGGACACTTTGGTAGGAGAGCTATTTTACTAGGCAGAGAAGGAGAGGCAGTGAGAATGCATAGGAAGGGCTTATATGGATACCTCAGATGAGAAAGTGAAAAAGGCTGTCCCTAAACGGACACTGATAATTTTAGTAAAGCTGTGCCAAGAGGGTGAGTAGGGTTAAAGTTACATCATTCTTCCTGTAATTTCAGCTCTGTTAAACAACAATTTTAAGTCAATGGGTCTTTCATAGTCTTGTCTATGTGGGGAACAGCTGTTCAACTTTTACTAGACAGCTGAAGCCATGGTGTCTGAGAAAGTGGCAGAACTTGCTAATAGCTGAAAGCAGCTGCCAGCAGTTCATCATTTCCACACTGGATTGCTGCTTAGCAGAGTCACCAGGCTAATACACAAAGCACAGGTGATAGTGAAGGTCCTGACATCTAAGAGCCCTGATTTTCAGAAACCCTGAACAATACAAAAAGGCTTAACAACAACAAAAAACAAAAGCACATGGACTTATAACAAATTCATACTGTAGGGTAGTATCTAGAACTTATCAGTACTAGTGTGCAAAAAATCCAGGAAAAAATAAATTAAATCTGAACCACTTATTTAGCTCCACTAACAATATCCATCTACATTCACACAGAGTTCTTTTCCTTAGCAGAAAAGTTACATCATCCCCCCAAATTTTTATATATATGTGAAATAATAACTTAGTTGGCCTAAAAATAAAAACAGACTATCTAGTAGAAATAGTTATTCATCTATGAGTCTTATATATTCAGCAGTCCCCAACCTTTTTGGCACTAGGGGCCAGTTTCATGGAAGACAATTTTTCCACAGGCTGGGGAAGAGGGAGTGGGGTGTCAAGGACGGGGAGGGTACGGTGCAGAGCTCAGGTGGTGATGCATGGCCCTTTGCTAACAGGCACAGACTTGTAACAGGCCATGGCCCGCAGTTGGGGACTGCAGTGATACATGGTAAGAGAAAAACAAGGAAGAAAGAAGTTATATATACTTTTAAATAGATTTCTTTATTTTATATGCTATCTTATAAAATATTTTTTTTACTTCATTTTACTTTCATCTTAATTGCCTAGTCTTTTTATTCTGTTATAATAATTGTTCTTAGAAATTATCACAAATTATATTAAAAATCAGGGAAGATATTAATAAATAATTCAAAACTAGTGAATATCTCAATAGTCTCCAAAATGAACTTAAAAACGAAGGCTCTGTTTACATTCTTTCTTTTTTGAGACAGGGTCTCGTTCTGTTGCCCAGGCTGGAGTGCAGTGGCATCATCGTAGCTCACTGCAGCCTCAAACTCCTGGGGTCAAAGGATCTTCCTTCCTCAGCCTCTCCAGTAGCTGCGACTGTGGGTGGACACCACCATGCTGGGCTGGTTTTTCTTTTATTTTGAGACAGTCTCGCTTTTTCACCCCTGCTAGAGTGCAGTGGCATTGTCATAGCTCATGGTAACATCAAACTCCTGGACTCAAGTGATCTTCCTGCCTCAGCCTCCTGAGTAGCTAGGACTGTAGGTGTGTGACATGATGCCTGGCTAATTTTTCTATTTTCAGTAGAGACAGGGTCTCGCTCTTGCTCAGGCTGATCTGGAACTCCTGACCTAAAGTGATCTTCTGGCCTTGGCCTCCCAGAGTGCTAGGAGAAGAGGTGTGAGCCACTGTGCCCAACCTACATGCTCTCTTATCGTCAAAATCTAAAAGATGTTTTCATAAATTTTTACTGAATTTTACTGAAAAACAAATGAACTAGAAGTATTTCCAAGTAGCCTACATATATTATGAAGTAGTTAGATAAAAGAGAAGCCTACCTGTGAGAGGTGAAGGTGATCCAACCGGTGTTGATGGATTTGATGGAAAACTACTGCTGGTATGGTCAGGAGAATAAATCTAAAAAGAAAACAAGAGATATACATGCATTGATATGTGACAACAAAAATATAAATCTATTCACGTGGAATTGTTTTTATAATCTCAGTTGCCATCTCTAAGACTCAGAGTAAGAAATTTTCTCATCAATTTTAGGTTGCATTACACAAAGATCACAGAAGCCTCAGTTTTAAAACTAGGATTAAAAGGTATTGTAAATATTCTAATATGAGAGGAATAAATTACATCTATTTATTATTCTAGTTGAAAATAATTTAAAGCTTTTAATTGTTAGAACAGAAAAATGAAAAGTGATAAAGTTAACAAATATGATAATTAAATAATCTTTCTAGATATATCATCTACACTAACTGGTATCCTTTAAAAATAATCACCTCAGAATACTATTATCTTCTGGAATGGTCTTTAAAAACAGTTAACTAGATAAAGAAAATAATTTTTTAAAATCGTTACCCCTTACCTCGCATTTAAAAACTTACTCAGTTTGACCAACCACATTTTTGCTAATTTTAGCTCCAAATGATTGTAAGAGCATTGTAAAAAATTAAACTTGCTCTCAAAGGATACTTTGTCACTCTTGAAAAAAGTGGAAAACCCCTGATGTACTTCAAAAAGCATTCCTAAATTAGCTTGTGAACTTTACTTCCCAACAGGTCTATTTCAAAGAGGATAAAATATCAGAAAACATAAATTTTGATATTCTGGCTAAAGTTTTATTGGAATACTTTTTATATACATTTCATACTGCCATAAATAAATAGTAACAGAGACTCATCTAGTTTATCTAGCACTTAAAAATTCCCCTTAACCCAGGCGCCAAGGGCCTGAACACTAAGAGATCTCTTCTAGGACATCCTATTCTTATAACAAGCATAATAAACCATTTTTGCATCTCAACACTTAGGGTAGACAAATTAACTTATGTGGATAAATTGTGGTCAAATATTTTATTGTTTTTTCTTTTCTTTTTTTCTTGAGACAGAGTCTTGCTCTGCTGCCTGGGCTAGAGCACCATGGCATCAGCCTAGCTTACAGCAACCTCAAACTCCTGGGCTCAAGCAATCCTTCTGCCTCAGCCTCCTGAGTAGCTGGGACTACAGGCTTGTGCCACCACACCCTCCTAATTTTTTCTATTTTTAGTTGTCTGGCTAATTTCTTTTTTTTATTTTTAGTAGAGATGGGGTCTCGCTCTTGCTCAGGCTGGTCTCAAACTCCTGGCCTCAAGCAATCCTCCCGCCTAGGCCTCCCAGAGTGCTAGGATTACAGGTGTGAGCCACCACGCCCAGCCATGGTCAAATATTTTAAAAAAGAAAATGACTTGTGAATGCAGAGTCATCCAATAGAAACAACCTTGCTCTGAACAAGGGCTCTACTGAATTTAAAGAGGCCTGAATTATGGCATATGAGCGTCTCAGCATTGGTTTTAAAGATAATACAATGTTTTTTCAGTTTCTGAACAAGCCAGCTATTAGGAGATATTCATGTAAAACAAAATTCCGCAAGTCGTGATTAACAAATGTAATGGCTTTTATTTTTTTTTAAAGATAACACAAATTACAGTCCAGGCGGGTGTGGTGGCTCATGCCTGTAATCTTAGCACTCTGGGAGGTTGAGGCAGGAGGATCGCTCAAGGTCAGGAGTTCAAAACCAGCCTGAGCAAGAACGAGACCCTGTCTCCACTAAAAATAGAAAGAAATTAATTGGACAACTAAAAATATGGAAAATATTAGCCGGGCATGGTAGCGCATGCCTGTAGTCCCAGTTACTGGGGAGGCTGAGGCAGTAGGATTGCTTGAGCCCAGGAGTTTGAGGTTGCTGTGAGCTAAGCTAACACTAATAGCACTCTAGACCCGGCAGCCAAGTGAGACTCTGTCTCAAAAACAAAAACCAAACACTAATTACAAATTGTAAGTAGGCCAGAGTCTACTTTCTTTTGACTACAGGTGGATATATCTACTTCAAAATAAAATATATCAATTTGTATGATGGTTAGTAAGTTATAATTGTAAATGCCTTTAAATGCTAACTGTTTCAAATAGTTAGATCCAGAAGTTGTAAACTCAAGTTAGAAAGCCATTTTGAAAAAGCAAAGGTGTGGAAAAAAGTTCAAAAGACTTTGGGAGGACTTAGTAATGGGGGGTTAGTATAATATCAATATTGCTGGTCTTAAAAAGTTGTTAAAGTTGTGATCTGTGAAAATTACCTAAAGGTCACATTTTGGTTCCCAGTGGCTTGCACACATATACATTGATTTAATTCTTACTATGTAAGTAAATTAGGGAAGGTCATCAAACTTCAACAAAAACATGTTTCAAAACACCCCCTTATCATTGTAAACTATTCTTATGTTCAAGATTCAAATAGTTATACCTTTATGAGAAACTGATGCTTACTTTTATATGTCTTTAGCTATAATATTGGTAAGGGAAGGAAGGGCCAAAAACATTTATGGTATTAGATGAGGAGAAAGCTTCAATTTTATGCAAATCTGTGATTATTATAAACTAGCCTAATTCTGTGACTTTTAATCCTCATCTGTAAGGATTAAAAGCATTGGAGAAATAGAATTCCCTCTCTGTCACACATTCATGCTTGTTTTCTTTTTTCAAAATTTATTGAGGTAAAATACACAATTTGCCATCTGTATCATTTTAAGTGTACAGATCAGTGGTATTAAATATATTTATATTCGTTTCCCCCATTCTCTCCCCCCATTCTATTTTCTTTATAGTGCTTACATTATATTCCTCATCATCCGAATGTGTTTATTTGCTTATTATCTGCCTCTTACCCTTTCCCCTATTAAAAATGTAAGTGGCAGAAGAACAAGGACTTTGTCTTATTTATCAGTGCTGTAGCTTCAGATTCCACGACAGTGTTGATAAATGGCGAGGGTTTAATATATAGCTGTTGTAAGAATAAAGGGTAGCATCATTTCTAGGAATTCCCATTTAAGTGATTGTTTTCAGCCCTGGATGTGTTTACCCAGGTTCCATATTTTTTTTACTCTTCCATTTCTCTTAGGTAGGTATTCCCAGAATTTCAGTTTTCTTTTCTATTTACCTGTGCTTCATTTCTTAGTAACACTATTCTTTTGTAAAGTATCAACCA